ACATGGAAGTGCACAGGGAGCGCATGGAAGTGCATGGGAGCCCCCAGGGAGTAAATGGAAGTGCGTGGGAGCACGTGGAAGCGCCCGGGAGCACGTGGAAGGGAATGGGAGCACGTGGAAGCACCCGGGAGCACCTGGAAGCGCCCGGGAGCACGTGGAAGGGAATGGGAGCACCTGGAAGCACCCGGGAGCACCTGGAAGCGCCTGGGAGCACCTGGAAGCACCCGGGAGCACGTGGAAGCGCCCAGGAGCACCTGGAAGCGCCCGGGAGCACGTGGAAGCGCCCAGGAGCACATGGAAGCACCCGGGAGCACCTGGAAGCGCCCGGGAGCACCTGGAAGCGCCCGGGAGCACATGGAAGCACCCGGGAGCACCTGGAAGCGCCCGGGAGCACCTGGAAGCACCCGGGAGCACGTGGAAGCGCCCAGGAGCACGTGGAAGCACCCGGGAGCACATGGAAGCGCCCGGGAGTACGTGGAAGCACCCGGGAGCACCTGGAAGCGCCCAGGAGCACGTGGAAGCGCCCGGGAGCACGTGGAAGCGCCCAGGAGCACATGGAAGCACCCGGGAGCACATGGAAGCGCCCGGGAGCACGTAGAAGTGCCCGGGAGCATGTGGAAGCGCCCGGGAGCACCTGGAAGCGCCCGGGAGCACCTGGAAGCGCCCAGGAGCACATGGAGGCGCCCGGGAGCACGTGGAAGCGCGTGGGAGCATGTGGAAGGGAATGGGAGCACGTGGAAGCGCCCGGGAGCATGTGGAAGCGAATGGGAGCACGTGGAAGCGCCCGGGAGCACGTGGAAGTGAATGGGAGCACATGGAGGCGCCCGGGAGCACGTGGAAGCGCCCGGGAGCTCCCGCCGCCACTCACACGTCCACGAGGAGCACGGAGGATCCCCAGCGCCGGTGCCGCGCCAGCTCCAGCAGGTACCGCGGCTCCGCCGTGGGCAGCTCCAGGCTCTCCACCAGGCGCAGGTCGTCCTGGCGGCGGGAAGGGCCGGGATGCGGCGCGGGCACGCCGGGAGGCTCCGGGGGGCGGCGCGGGGGGCACCCACCTGCGAGAGCTTCACGGTGAGGGCCACCCTGAGCGCCAGCGCCCGCAGCTTCATGGGCGGCAGGTAGAAGTAGCTGGCGGGGCCGCGCGGGCCGT